AACTCATCGCAGAATAACCCACTAGAACAGGGTTTCTTCACTTTACAACTTTTTTCGTTGAACGTTACGGTTGCCTAGGCCCCGGAACTCATCGCATAATATCCCACTGTGCGCAAGGTTTTCTTCACTTTACAATTTTTTTTTAGACGTTACGGCCTGCCGTGTCCGTTTTGTCCTAGCCAGCGCAGCATTTCGTGCATCGGAACGCTGAAAAGTGGAGACCTTTCTAGGGTTTTTTGCCATAGCGAGATGTAGGCCTCTCGCACTCATGTACCCAAAGCCCACACGAACACGCGATTTCACTATGACATCTCTGTAAAATGCTCTTTCCTGATGTGGAAATTACTAGGAGTCATTCAAGGCCGTGTTACCTTGTTCTTGGGACCCCTGGAATCCCACAAATGTCACCCAGCCTGCTGGTCCGGAAGGTAACCTAGTGCTGACGGGCGAGCTTCACATCACTTCCAAGATGACAGGGCCTTGTCTCACCGTCCACGGAGACCTTCAGCTTGCCAATGCTCATGCCAGCTTCCTGGGATGCCAAAACAAGGTGCAGGGCACTCTGGCATTTCCATCTCAGAATTGCCCATTCCGTGTTACTGTTAAAGAGCTTGATCTAAGATACTGTACTATCTACTCAGAATACACATCCATATATTATGGCATCTTAGTTCAAATTCCTTAACGGCAGCCCAGTGTTCGATCAACATGGGTCAGGGCGGAAATGGAGGAGCAGTCTATGTCGGGAAAAACCTCTTCATGACCAACAGTTATGCCAAGTTCGAAGATTGCCGTGCATCAAGAAGAGGCCCGGGCCTTGTAGCACCTCATGAAAAGGTGGTTGATTTTCAGACTTATAGACACCATTTACATCCCCATGATGTACCCCTGGTCAGTCTGAGCTGGGTTTCGTTTGGAGGCTGGGTACAGGCCATATGCTGAGGACTTTTTAACCCCCGTTTCGGGTCAATGCCGTGCCGCGCTGTCGGTGTAAAACCACTTGATCCCTTCCCCAAGCTGACCACTGCTAGACTAATTAGCAGTGGATGTACACTGCACGAACATCATGAATCTTCCACTGCATGCGCCGTGCAGGAGGCGGTTTGTACGTGGACGGCGGATTTATGCAGTCCAACAACAGCACGGCACACTTTGTGCGCTGTACTTCGAGTATGAACGGAACTGCGGCTGCAACGTTAAGTGGAAGTTGCAGCACGACAACGGGAGCGCGTACAGGCAGAGCCCACAAGTCTTTTCTTGCGTCACTCCGGCATCACTCAGGTGGCGGCTCATACGTTGGTGGCAATTTTTCGCAGGCCGACAAGAGCACGGTGCGCTTCGAGAATTGCCGTTCCAAAAAAAGATGGGGAGGCATGACAGCACTGGTTTCTGGGGCGTTCAGGGACTGACTTTCGGGTAAGATGAAGTGGCTGTGTGCGTAGCCATCTGCAGTATCTGCAGTATTTGTAGGCTGGGTGGGTGGTAGGTGTGGCTGAGACTTGGGCTTTACTTATTGCTGGTATATAGGTCAAGATGTTCGAGGATTTTGTCAAAAGCTTTCCAATCTTGAGGCCTTGAAGTGCCCCAGACCCTAAACTCCAAACCTTGGCCCTAAACCTTTAACATTTAGCCCTAAGCCCACAAGTCTTAGCCCACAATGTTGCTTGCCGCTTCACTTAGGTGGTGGCTTGTTTGTGGGCCAAGTTCTTCACGCTGAGTCCAGCACGGTGCGCTTCGAAAATTGCACCTCAAAAGAGAATGGCGCCTAGGTAGCAATGATGTTGACACATTAGAGGGTGTTGGATGGAGAGCTTGTGCGTAGATGTTGAGATGGTGTGTCTCATGAGAAGGGACTAAGGAGGTGTTTGAAATTGGTGTCTAGCTGAGCTAGATCTTCTGGGCGAGGTGGCGCTTTCCGCAAATGATGCATGTTCGCAGGTTCAGCCGAAGCCCCAGGTATCATGAACCCACCATACACGGTCCTTCAACGCAACCGCGACGGTGAAGCACGTGGATGCTTGCAACCTTTGCTGTTGACCTTGCCGTGGGATGCCGTGCTCAGGTGGCGGCATGGCGGTTAGGACCCTCATCCAAACAGGAAGCAGTGCTGCTCACTTCCGGGGTTGCATTGCCGAAAATGGAGCCAGGGCAGCACTGAGTTTCGGGGGGTTGAGGAGCAGGGGCTGTGCGTGTAGCCATCGGCATTTGCAGCTTCTTTGCTCCTTTTGGTGAAGGCCAGGTTACAGGTCAAGGCGTTCGAGGATTTCTCGCGTAAGCTGACCTCTCGCGGCTTGGCAATACCCCAGTGGCATATTTGGACTTCATGATCCGTACGGGCGATGCTTGCAGTCAGAAACCCATGCAAGGACCTTCAAACGTGACTGTGACTGCCATGTTCGCTTCACTCAGGCGGCGGCTTGTTCGTGGGCAGAATTACACAGGCTGAGACCAGCACGGTGCGCTTTGAGACGTGCTTATCAAGGAAGAGCGGAGCTGGGGCAGCAATGATGTTTGTGTTGCGGGATCAGCTGGCTAATGCCCGGGTCATCCCGGGTCTAATTTGCACGGGATGAGTGTGAGGTGGGAGGCAAGACTGTTTTCATGCGAGATCTCTGGATGGCTGGTGCTTGTTTGCTGTTTGCTTGTGGGTTCGCCTGTGGCTGCAAGGCACCTCGCTTGTTCCTTTAATACCCTCCGCACTATCCGCACTCAGGTGGCGGCTTGTTCGTCAAAGGCAACTTCAAGCAAGCCAAGAACAGCGCTGCACGCTTCACGCGCTGCCGTTCAAGAGGGGACGGCGCCAGTGCAGCATTGGTCTTTGTGGAAGAGGGATGCAAGTTCTTCCATCTGGGCTGTATGCGAAATCTGCTGGAACGATATGGTGTTCAACGAACAGAATCTAAGAGCCCTTGGTGAGCAGTTGGATGCACGCGACCCCACGAGGGCGCCCAAAACAACAAACAGCCACAGAGTGTGAGGGAGCTCACCTTGTAAAGACCATGAACCAGTTTTCCCATGAATCCTTGCTTGTGTTGTGGCGCATTTTTTGGTAGCACTCAGGCGGCGGATCGTATGTTGGAGGCAACTTTACACAGGCTGAGATGAGCAGGGCGCACTTCGAGCGGTGCACTTCACAGGGCGAGGGAGCCGGGGCAGCAATGGGATGTGGGTTTCTAAGCTGCTCGGAAAGTGCTGCTTGCTTTTTTGGGATTTGGCATATCATTGAGGCGGTGGGCTGTATCTCTCTGGTGACTTCAAGCAGGACAAGAACAGCACCGTCCACTTTGGAAGTTGCACTGCAGGGATTCATGGAGCCCTGACAGCAGTGGCATGTGGGGAAGCAGCAGTGCCGCACTGGCTTTGGGGCAGGAGAGCTGTGTCCAGCGGAAAGGGGGCGGTTTTCCTTTCATGTCGGCCTTCGAAGAAATCTTGCGGAGTGATCATGTTTGACGGACACAGTCTAGAAGCGGTTGGGGCCCTCGGCGGGAAGGGGTGCTTGCCTTTTTCTGGTGGCCTCCTTCATGTTCGGGCAGCACTCAGGCGGCGGAGCGCATGTCGGAGGCAGGTTTACGCAGGCTGAGATGAGCAGGGCGCACTTCGAGCGGTGCACTTCAAAGCGCGTGGGAGCCGGAGCAGCAATGGAGTGTTGGTTGCTAAGAGGCTAGGAATAAGCTGCTTGCCTCTCTGGGAGTTGGCGTATCATTGAGGCGGTGGGCTGGACATCGGTGGTGACTTCAAGCAGGACAAGAACAGCACCGTCCACTTTGAGAATTGCACCGCAGGCCTTTCTGGAGCCTTAGCAGCAGTAGTATGTGGGGAAGCAGCAGTGCCGCACTGGCTTTGGGGCAGGAGAGCTGCGTCCAGCCGGGGATTTTCGCAAAGGGGGGTTCGTAAACAAACTCAGGTATGATAAGGCTGGGGGCTGGGGGTGTGTTTTTTCCAGCAGATGGAAAAGTGAAAAGTTGAATTGCAATTTTGGTATTTTTCTGAGTTATCTGCCCGGAATTCCTGTGAAACCCGACGCTCATTCTATATTTTGAGGCGTTTTCCGAGCTTTTCTCGGTGAACAAAGTGCAGATACGATGCGGCGGGCTGGGGGTGTTTTCTTGTGATTGAAACACTGATTAACATTCTTTTTTTAAGGTTGTGTGCGCCAAAATTCCAGTGAAACCCAACGCTCATTTTGAATCTTGGGGTGTTATCCGAGCATTTTTGGGGAAACAAAGTGTGGTGTGATAAGGCTGGGGCTGTGTTTTTTCAGCAGATCGAAAATTGAAAAGTTGATTGGCAATTTTCCCACCCTTTTTTGAGGGGATTTACAAAAGTCCTGTGAAACCCAACGGTTCATTTTGAATTTAATGGGGTGTTTTCCGAGCCTTTCTTTGGAAACAAAGTGGGGTATGATAAGGCTGGGCGGCTGGGCTTTTACTTGTTGCAGCAGATCGAAAATGGACAGTTGATTGGCCATTATTTTCTTCATTGAAGTTATCTGCAATGACTTCCTGTGAAATGCAAAGCTCATTTTGGATTTTGGGAAGTGTTTTTAGGATTTTCTTGGGCTACAAAGCGGGGTATGATAAGGCCGAGGTGTGTTTTGTTGCACCAGATCGAAAATGAACAGGTGGTTTGGTATTTTTTTAGGCTACCTGCATTGAACTCCCGTGAAACCCACCGTTCATTTTGCGTTCTAGGTGTTTTCCGGAAATGGAATGGCGTGGTAGCCCTCGCGTTTTTTTTTTAGCCTCTTTCGCTCGGCCATGAGCCGCGCAGCAGCCCTCGCGAGTTTTTGATTGCGCCCAACCACCTCCCAAAGACAAAAACCATACTCCGCCCCCAGGATAAAAAACAGCCCTCCCCACGACAAAAAACGCATTTTGCCAGACAAAAGAACAAACAAGACAAATCACAACACCGCCCCCCCCCCCCCCCCC